AACTAAAGATACTTTTAACTGAAAGATATTTTGTTTAAAGTATCTTAGAAAAGTAAGATACTTTGCAGAAGTAATTTTCCCAGCTCTGTACTATATTTAGTTACTCTATAAACATCATTTGCTGAATAGTAATCATACCTCTACCTTGCGGGACAGTCCCGGATTTTATCATAAGAGTAAACGTCCCGAAAAGGTCCCGGATTTTGCGTTTAATCACACAAAATAATAAATCTGACAAAAATAAAATAGAGTTACAAATTTGTTCAAAAAAACGGTTTCGGTCGCTCACGAGTAAAAAAATACACGTCACTTTGTCATTGGTATTATTTAATTAAAACGGCGTTCAAAATGTTCCCTTTCATGATATTAAAAGAATTGTAGAATTATGCTTGTGTCTACCAGGAACTAATGCTCCCACCGAAAGAAGTAGTAGGTATTCTCCTTGCGAAGAATTTTATAATTCTGTAAAGAATAATGATGGCTTTCTGTGGAAATTTTATTCGGCAGAAAAGAATTTGTAAGTTACATTAAAGTTGTATATTTGTAAAAAAATAAATGTGTTTGGAAACGAGTACCTAATTTTTAAATACCTCGGGGCCCATACAATGGTTCGAAATTTATTTTTATATATATACTTATTTATATATAAAATTCTACATTTTGGAATAATGTGCATATTATATTATAATGAATTATGTAAACGATTTTCTGTTTTCTCGACCTCCCCCCTTTTTCTTAAAATTATTTTAGCCTTCGTATCGGCTTTTGGCGTATTTTTTTCGCTTTGTCCCGGATTTTGACATTTTTGATGTGGTCACTTTACTCTAAACATTCGTTTCATTACACTGCTGCGCTGCAGCAGCTGCAGTCATAAATGGTATACCTTATAAACGGATTTGTGCCACAAATTGTCAAAAAATATATCTGTTAACTTTAAAAAGCTGCTAGATGCCTTGTTTATTTTGTTTTCATAAGTTATGGACCATATATGGTATACCAACCCTTTTGGGGGGGGGCTCACGCAAGGTAGGCATTTAAGGAAAGCCTATTAATGGATTCATATATTTTTCAAATTGTAGTTTAATAGGTTACAATTTAATGAAATATTTTTAAAAATTAAATAAAAAATGTTTTTGTTAAAATCAAATACTTTTAGTTTTAAATCAAACATTTTAAATTCTATGCCCGAGTCAAAATTTAGATCGTAATTTAAACCTAATAAGTCTGAACAATTTCCGTCTTGAACGGTTTTATTTTGTGCATTTTAACAAATTTTACAGGATAAGGAAAATACATTTCACTATACCAGATAAAACTTTGATGAAAGTATTTCCTTATTTTTTTCAGTATAATTAAGTATTGAAATAATAGTAAGGAATGCATACTTTTTTAAAAGTTTTATTTGGTAGTAAAATGTTTTTTCTTCTGTAAAGTTTGTTAAAATGCGCATATATACCTCTATAGAGGTCTTGCAGGCGCAGCGACAATATATAATTAATTTTTTCTACTCCCACCTTTAAAACGCCCTTTATCGTACATGTTTCTATGACACTAAGTGACCTTTTAAATACACATTGACAAGTTGTGGCTTTACGGCGCTTTAGTCACGGGCTGAAGTTAGCAACAGGTTTTTAGTCACGGGCTGAAGTTAGTTGTAAGTTAGTTGACAGTTGTCAAATGTCATACAATCGTTAAAATAAAGTGCATTTCTTGTAAAATAATACTAAATGTGAAAATTATTTTATTATCTTAATACAAAAATACAAAAATATTAAATAGTTTCTCAACGCCAATATTTGAAACATTTATATGAACTTTGTACTGGCCTTTTAATTTCGCAGGCAATAAACTATAACTAAATTCGAGCACGGACTCTACTGTAAAGTCCCCATAAAACATTTCCTTTACTTTCACTGTGAAAAACAGTCACTTTTCAAGATACGTTTCGATTTATAACCTTTATAATTTTGTTAATAAAATGTAAAAATGTGACATTTGACAGTTTCCCCTGTTGTTTCATAGATGGCGCTATTTTTGATTTAAATCATTTTAAGATAATAATAAGTATTTGTCGTAGAAAAAGTATGCACCTCGTTTATAAACTTTTCTATACACTCATTAAGTTAAGCACTCGCTCGCAAGCTCAAATTAAATTCGTGTATAAAATGGCGTTTATCAAACTTGATACATAATATACTATTAGGTACCTAAAATCATTTATACGTAGTTAAGAAAAAACCAAAATGAGTGAAGTTTACGATTTATTTAATATATCTATTTAAATTTTAATTATTTTAGTTCAGTTAAAGAAAAGTTAATAGCTTGAGTTCAGTAGAAGTTATTAACTTTCTTTCTTTCTACCTATACTTACATAGGTAGAGTGCATTGTAAATGCTGGTTCGGGTTGGGTTGAAGACTTGCCAAGTCTTCAACCCAACCCGAACCAGCATTTCTCCATTTAATTTAGAAATTTAAATTATTCAACAGTTTGTACCAAGTCAGACTTGGTACAAACTGTTGAATAATTTAAATTTCTAAATTAAATGGAGAAAGTATTTACATTCATTATTTGCAGTAAAAGAAGATTAATTTGGTTGTTCTAGTGCTAAAAAGGTCAAAGTAGGTTTAAATTACGATCTAAATTTTGATTTGGGTGGGGCTCTATCTCTAAAACTGTATACAGTTAATATATTTAGGGTAGATTTATATTTATTTTTTTACATTGTTGGAAAGTGTTAAAAGGGCTTTAAACTAATGTACCCATTAATTTTTAAAAAGTTATGGGAATTTTAAATAATAGGTACACTGAGAAAAAAATGGTGTAAAACTGTGTAGCTAATACTTTTATTAATAGTGAATATATTGTTTATTACCTCTAAATAGTCGAAATAATAACGATAAATATACTTTAGTAAAACTTTATGTGTCGGGAATAAAAATATATTTAGGATAAATAAACTGTACCCTTGTCCCATATTTAAATATTTTTTTTATTTGGGAGCAATAAACTTTTTTCTCAGTGTACCTACCAGAAATTTTAGGCCAATATTTTTAACAGGGTTAGTAATAATTATTATTACATAATAAATTACATTCATATGTAGGTATAAAGTGGAACCTATTTTATATTATTTTAATGTTCTATAATGTGTAAGAACCAGCCAAAAATAATAGTTCTTTATGTATGTCAAAAGGCTGAGAAAGTGACTCTTTTTGTGCCGAACTCTAGTCGAGCAAAGTACAAAAAGACACGTCTCAGACGCGTCTTGAAGATAAAATATTGTATGCCATTCGCGAATGTCATACAATATTTTATCTTCAAGGCACAGTTTTATACGATACATAAAACAATTAAGTATTAAAAGTATAAAGTGAGGTTAGACAGCTTAGAGCTGTCATCAGTTATCAATTATTTTTATTGTTCTTACTACTGATTGATTGGTCTAAATTATTTTTACAGCGTTAACGTTGACAATAATTATTATTATTAATTATTAATTATTTATTGATAAAGCTTAAATTATAGACCGCTTGAAGATAAAAGTATATTATGTATCAATCAATGTATCAAGACTTAAGTCTTATAAACGACATTTTAGTTACTAGTTATATTAGGCATGAGCAAAGCTTGCAAGCGAGTGTTTAATAAAAACTAGTGTCTAGATAAGGTTATAAAACGAGTTGCACACTATACTTTATCTACACGAACAGAAATAGATAAATAAAGCCAATTTACATTAAAAATATTTGACATTTATTATAAAGCTAACTTCAGCCCGTGACTAAAACGACATAAAGAACCAGCTTGTCAATGTAGGAGTAGATAATAGCATAATATGTATCAAGATTTATAAAGGCCATTTTAGTTACGAGTTTTATTAGGCACGAGCGAAGCTTGCGAGCGAGTGTTTAATAAAAACGAGTGTCTAGATATAGTTTATAAAACGAGTTGCATACTATACTTTTTCTACTCCCACCTTTAAAGCGCCCTTTATAGTAGATACATGTTTCCATGACACTAAGTCACCTTTTAAATACACATTGACAAGTTGTGGCTTTATGGCGCTTTAGTCACGGGCTGAAGTTAGCAGCTGAAGTCACAGCTCGTCAATGTAGAAGTAGGTACCTATATAAAATATTTATAATATAATAAATATTAATCTGTTAAAACTATTTAAAAATTATTACTTTAACATTGTATAAAACATTATGTGGTATTATTTTTAAAAATCACGCAAAAAATTAAAAAGATATGGACGGATTTTCATACCTACCTATATAAAAATTCGACATGGTAATAATTGCCCTATAAACTCGAAAGTCAAAATAGCTTTCAACAAAATTTTAAACAATGTTAAAGAGCTAAAGTTAGGCTATAAAACAGTTTTGATTTTATAAAATTTCCACAAAATTTAACACTTTGAAGACAGTTACTTTAACACGAGTAAATTGCGCAAAATGGCTTATTATGGTGTGTATGGGTAAGGTAGGTATATTAAGATATTTATATTTTCGAAAAGCTTATTAAAGGGAGTTTAAAATGTTTTTTGGATTTTTGAAAATAGAATGATAAATGTGGAAGATATGATGAATAATTGAGTTAAGTGTTAAGATAGGTGCAGTACCTATTTAACAATAAATTAACAAAATAATATCTATTATTTAAAATAATACTAAAGAACAATTTATATGAACAAAATAGCTTTTTGTAAGGGTATATCGTTGTTTCCCCTAGTAACATTACAGCGCTTGATGTAGATCTCCCCTCTGTTAACTAAAAAAATCTATTACAACGTGGAATCATTTTCGCTTCTCTGGAAGCCTTTGTACAGAGAATACCTAGTTCGAAATATAACAAAATGGATATAAATCGGGGCACAATCGGTTGCACTCGGGCAGCATCGTATGACGTCACGGCAAATCCCGCGTCGTGGTTGGTCAGGGGCGGAGCCGCTACCCGCTTGCTGCGATTGTCGAATTTCTTTCGATCATCAGTACAACTCTAACCTCAGTGAGGTGTTATAGTGCTGTTTAAAGTGCCAATTCAACCAGATTAAATTATTTTAGCGACTTGAAACCTTTGGTATCGTATTAAACATACTTTTTTATACCTACTGAACAATTTTTATCCGAATCCGACATCGAGAAGTAATTTTTTTTCGACGATTAGTGCGACGGTATTTCACGATGGTTTATGTAGGCGATACAGCGTTGCCGGTGTATGCTGGCGCGTAGTTGCCGGCTCTCCGTGCCGCACTCTCGGCTGTTTTAGCCGACTAGATAAAACGCAAACTTGGCCTATCGCGTTCTTGCTTCGTAGGAGAGGTAAATATGCAATTAGATTGCTTTCACTATTTTTTTGTTATTAAATTTTGTTGTGTATGTGTTTTTGTTTTTGTTGAGTTGGTCACGTGCTACGCATGTGTCAAACATGTGGTTCGTGTTTTTGACATGTCATTAACAATTGAAGTGTGTACGTAGGTGATTTGTTGTTTTTGTTTGTTTGGTTATTGTTATTAATGTGTTTTTGTTTTGTATGTCGTTTGTTTTGTTTAGTAAATTTTATTGTTTTGTTTTTAAAAAGTCTTTGTATTTTTATGTAAATAGGTAATTGGGGAGAAATTTAAAAAAATCCATAATTTTTTCAAATACCTATATTGTTTTGGCGTAAAATGTTATGAAATAAACGACTTTTTAAGAAATTGACATAGTTAAAAAAAATCAGGAAACAGTAAAGCAAAAATATAAAATAAAACTCAACATCCTGCATAATGACAAGTTTTGGTCAACTTAGGGGACATCCATTAATTACGTGAGATAAAAATAGGGGGAGGGATCTAGCAAAATTTTACCAAATCTCATTTTAAGGGGGGGGGTCATTTAAAATCTCACGTCAACTTTTGGGTTTAAAGAATAGGTACTTACATATGTATTATAATTCAAATTTGTTAAAAAAAATTAATCAATTATTTTTTTGGGTTAATCATGTTCGCAAAGTTTAATAGCTAGCATATTACGAGAGGGATAGAGGAGTCTACCACATCTCACCAAGGGGGAGGGAGAGGTCCAAATTATCAGAAAAATGACTCCCCTTATACGCCAAAATCACAAAAAATGCAATACCAAAAAAAAATAAAGTAATCTTTAAATGAAAACGTAGGCACAGAAATTTAAAACAACGTAATAGAGGTTGTAGATCTCATTGAGGGTGTTTTTTTTTAAATAGGGTAATATCTACAATCTTTGTGTCGAACATTTATGTAAAAACAAAACAAGGTCAATAATTCTAAAACAAAAGCTCAAATAAAAATTATTTATTTAAAAAATGTTAGTCTCAATAACTAACATTTAATTTAATTGTATTAAATTAAAAAAGCTTTATTTAAGCATTTTATTGTTTAAAATAAAAAATTTCACGGACAAGGTCGAATAAAAAAGGTGAATTTGGATAAAGTAAACAAAATAGTCAAAACAAACAGAAAACATTAATTCGTAGCAAGATAACAAAAAATTAAAATTTAACAAAAAATTAACTCTGCAAACGTCAAAAGTTTTTAGGACCCAAAACCCACAAAAACAAAACAAAATCATACCTGCTAGGTTTAACCGCTGTACCTATGTAAAAAAACAGTTTAGAAATATGATAAGGAATTTTGGAATTTGCGATAAAAACACAATGGATTCATTATTATTAGATAGATTATTATCAAAATGTAAGCAAACTATACATTTTTTTGTAAAATTGTTTATAATAAACAATTTTTCCAAATAAATAAGTAAACAAAAAAACTTCAAAAATTTAAAACTCGTTCGAAAAATCGATAAACAAATTACAAACCGGGACCCCACGTTCTGAAAAATAAATCAAGTCTACTTCGTCGACCAATAAATAAGGCCTTCACGAGAAACAAGCGACTGTCGTTGCATTTTACCGCATCAATCAAGCAGCCATCTCCCTTCTCTCTTTAACTCAACCGCTCAGTTATCTCCTCACTCTTACTTCTCACTCTTAAAGCCCATCTACTTTCTTCGTCCAACTCCGGCGATGATCGCGCGTTTCGTGTGCGTGTTTTGGACGTTTTTTAATGACATATCTCTATCTCAGTCGGCCGTTTCATGGGATTCAACCAGATAAAGATCTACTAATGCAGCGAGTCGAACAAAGAAGAATAACTCGATGATGGTTTGCCCATAACTTTGTTAATATAAATATTACGCAAATATAATGTTCCACCAATGATATTTTTATGATAAATACCTTAAGATATATGGCGGTTTAAAGATAACTCTTATGATATAACACATGAGTCATTTGTTATATTATAAGAGTTATCTTTAAACCGCCATATATCTTAAGGTATTTATCATAAAAATATCATTGCATGGTGACATGAGCCAAGTAGTTTACCATAAATATCTTTGTAATTATAAATGTTACGTAAAAAAGATGTTTACAATGTTGTAGGGGGTTAAATTTTCTACAAAATGATATACTGATGTTTATTTTAAGATAAATATATTGTAAGATATATGGCGGTTTAAAGATAACTCTTATGATATAACACATGAGTCATTTGTTATATCATAAGAGTTATCTTTAAACCGCCATATATCTTAAGGTATTTATCATAAAAATATCATTGCATGGTGACATGAGCCAAGTAGTTTTCTATAAATATCTTTGTAATTATAAATGTTACGTAAAAAAGATGTTTACAATGTTGTAGGGGGTTAAATTTTCTACAAAATGATATACTGATGTTTATTTTAAGATAAATATATTGTAAGATATGGCGGCTTAAAGATGACTTGGGTTATGATGATAGTTTTTGTTTCTTTCTAAATAACTTTGTTATTACAAAATATACGTAAAAATATTGTTGCACAATGTTGTTGAGTAATAAATCCTTTACAAAATAAGATATCGCACTTAATTCTATTATTTATAGTTTTTGAGATATGGCCGTTAAAAACTTTTGAAATGTACCACTTTTTCTTATAAGAAAGAGTGTACATTTCATTATTTATAAATAACATTGCAAACATTAATATTACCAAATTCAATGTTGCAGATCCCTTAAAAATCTACAAGACGCATACATTTTTATGTCTAATAGTTTTTAAGATAACCGTTCTTCAGAATGACCATTGCCATTTTGAAAGAAGAAATGTAAAACATTCAAAAGTTACATATAAGCTTATATAAGCTATAGCTTCAATTATTTTAAAGCTATAATTATTTTGCAAACGTCTTTTTAAAGAGTCATTATTAAGCTACAAAATTAAATATTAACCATATATGGTCGATTTTTATAAAAATCGACTATAAAACAAAAGTAAAATTGCCACTTAAGGGTGTAACCGAATTACAAACCCATGTAAAGAATCCGTTATATCTCGAAAACTATAATATCTTTAAAAAAATTACAAAATTCAATTTGTAAAGAATTTTATGGCTTATATATTACTATCACATCATTTTTACATATTATCATTATTTAAAGATATATTTCAAAAAACAACATGCCGTCGTCAATTATAATTTCAATACATCTAAAACGAAAAATCTAGCTTATAACAGAGTTATGTCAACGATAATTTTTATATTTCCTGTCAATAATCACCATAAATTCGTCCGTAAAACTCGTAAAATGCTCATATATTAATGATTTTATTACTTCAGCTTTATGCCGCTCTATATATATCGCAGCAATCCATGCCTGTCATGGCCTGCCTGTGTTTGTAAAACGAATCGATACACCGATGTCAGTTAAATAATGCAGCACTGGCTTTTGTTTTAATGCCCACGGGGCAGATCAACGCGGATTTGGACATGATTTGAACAAATTTGTATTATTAATTCGTATCGCAATATATTTCCAAATTAGATAATTTTAATATAATGTGTTATACAAACTTGCAAGTACATGTAGAGGGATATTTGGGCATACCTATATTATTATATTTGGGCATATATATTATTATTAAACATTGGTTAAAAAATGGCGCAGGTAGGTATAATGATTAAAAAAAAAAAAATTTGGTATAGTTTACACATTTCAAGTTATCTACATCACTTTACATTTTTGTGTGGTCTATGATATACAACCATTTATATATAAAATTATGCAAAAGAATCAATTAAGCCATATATACCATTCATTACATCATAACTTACAAAACCAACAAAACTAACCTCGTTTAAAGTCGCCAGAACTCAAACTTCCCGCCCTAAACCAACTTCACATCGTTTTTTGTCGCTATATTCACCCCAAACCCGCCTCAGAGATTGGTCGATACAGACCCTCGTCGTCAGGGCACTCCAATAGAGTGACGCGTACAATTTTAGGCACCGCCCACCTCCTGTAGCGTTATGTTTTCCTGGTAGCAAGCAGACTCGAACCACGTGGTTATGTATTCGATGTGGTAAACGGATTTATTTAGAGAATGGGAGAGAAAATGTGGGTAAGTGAGGTGGAGAGAGATGGGTAGAGTATGGGGGGAAGCCGCAAACAACGCTTACTTTGATTTAGAAAGCATTCAAATTTATATAAATCGTTGTTATAGGGTGATGTTTGGTTAAATATCACTAAAACAAATAATAAGTAATGATATTTATATATTATTTTAAAGAATAAACAATAACTTTCAATTTTAACAAATCGTCCTCAAATTATCCCAGTTGAAGACTGGGAAAATAAAAAAAATAGGCTTAAAAATGGAATAGATACATCACATCAAATTTTAAATTCAAGGTTTCGAAAACGAAATAACAAAAATTTTATAAACATCTCTAAGAGACCTATCTTAAAAATGCATAGGTATAAAATTGTTTATAGAGTTGGTCAGTGGTGCCGTGCAATCAGCCCCTCCCCCATTTACGACGCCTACTTCCTTTTTCTGACCCTTTGCATAATATAAATTGTTGGCATGAAATTTTATGCTCTTGGGGGTTCGTTCTGCTGTAGTGTTTTTAATGTTAGGGGTTATATTTTTTTTCCATATGGTGCTTTTACGGTACAATATGATGCTTATATGGGGTGAATTTAATGAAATTTTTGGTAAGTACGTAGGTATCATAATATATTGATTTTTTAAGAAAATTTTGTTTTACATTTTATATTTTGTAAGATATGTAAAGATATATTTAGAATAGATTATTATAATGATTAAATACAATCAAATAATAAAACACCCAATTAAACTTAAAACTTATGTAAAATATGATACCTACCATCCTATATAAACCTTAATATCTAAAAACTATCAATGTAGTAGATATTATCTACATATATTAAAAAAACTACACAAAATAATCTTCAAAATGCCACATAGTTTTTTAAAAGCCGACAAAAACCAGCCAAGTTACAAACACTTAATATATACCTATAGTATAGTATACTTAATATATACCTTCGTCGTTTAAAAAGTTTTTAAGCAAGCTTTCTAACGTTAAAAGAATTAACTTCCACCAAAAACTTAACATTCTACAGCCAATTTTGTGTAGGCGTATCAATGCTATGATAAGCAGTAGCTATTAATAGACGAAACGAATAAATGAATTTAAGATAATAAATCTTGTTTTTTGTTACAGATATTCTTGGAAAATGACGCAAAAACTTAAAAGCGATAACAAACTACTCGTTAAGGATGTAAATCCTTATTTAACGTGTCCACTATGCGATGGTTATCTTATAGATGCCACGAAGTTGGTTGATTGTTTGCACACCTGTAAGTATTTTGAGTTTTTGATAATCTTAAAAATTATACATAATAATCACTAAATTATTAAAAAACAAAAAAAAAATAACACAAAACTTTTTTAACAAAAAACTTTTGTTTATAGTTTGCAAAGGTTGCATCTTAAAAAACTTTGAAAACAAAATGTGCCCCATCTGCAACACGGACTACAAGAAGAAAACACAGTGTTTCAGGTAAAGAAACACACAAAAAACCCAGTAAGAATACAATTTTACATATTTTCATGATTTTACAGATCTGATCACCAATTGCAAACCCTCATATACAAACTGGTACCGAGCTTGTACAACAAAGAAATACAAAGCAAAAAAGAATTTTATAGGTCGACAACGGTGAGAGCTAGCAGTTCCTGTTCGGATGACAGCGTTATAGAACGCGAAAAATCCAATGTGCAAGAGGAGGAAACGGTAAGTAACATTAATTAATTTTTTTAGATATTTTGAAAATATCCTATGAAATTTTTTTTGTTAGAGAATTAAATGTCTTATTTTTTAAATAGCACTAAAATTACCAGTCTCCTAAAAATGACAACTCTAAAAACGTCGTATCCAACAATATGCATAAGGTTATAACCTTATTCACTTGAGATATCTCAAAAAATCATCAAGAAAACTAAAGTTTGAACATTGCATGAACAAAATACAGCAGTAGCAACTCTATCGCCGCATTTAAGAAACTTTACGCACTTTCCCACTTCTAGAGGAGTGCGAGTAGCTAAAGAAGTATCGCTAGTACCGCAACCACGTGGCCGTTATCATCGTAACAAAACTACAACTTTTAATAATCCGCGGTCAAACGCGTATGTTACAAACAAGTTTTTGAAAAAAGGCCGAAAATTGTTAAAAATATTGAGAGAAAAAATGTCGAACGTTTTGTGTTTTTCCAGAGGAAATCCTAGTTTTGAGTTTTTACCGGTTTCACAGTGGAATTTCGAATGAAGAAATAAATTGCATACAGTCCCTGTAAATATAAATTGTACGTATTAAATGCAATAAATACACATTTTAGTAAAGATTTACGTGAAAATTGTAAACATTTCAAGTCAGTAAAAATCATAAAGCAAATAAGTCGTCTAAACAGCATTAAGCATTATTAAAAGCGTTGATTAAGAAAGTCTCCACAACGGTAAAGTACTAAAACCGGGTATAATATATAATATTATGTTGCCATGAATTCGTAGATATATTTTGTCGTTTAGGTACTATTTTAAAATGCAGTTGTCAGCGTTTTTTTAGAGGTCTCAAATATAAAAATCTTTGATTTTAAGGTTATGTTTGTACAATAATTATTTTTTGTTAGATTTCTTTAAAAATGTCCAAACATAAATATAAATTATATTAGGTTAAGTTATTATTAGTTAATTCTGCACCAACAAATTTAAGTATCGAATTGGATCCTTTTACAAAACATGAAAATGAAACGATTTTGTTCTTCAATTACATTTACAATTAAAAACACAATAATTCACCATAATCACTTAGATAAAATATACACACTTACTTAACTTTATAAGCATATAAGCGTTGAGTTTCTTCTTAATCAATGATATAAGGAATAATAAAACAAAATCGAGTACTAAAGTTTTTTAGTTTTTACTTGCAATGCCAAACTCAAATAACGTGATAGCTGTGCAATTGAAACTTTGCGAACAAAATTTGTCTCCATAAATTTAACCTGGAAAAACTTGGTTAGCGTTCGCGTCCCGACTTGTTTTCGGCAGTCGAGACGTAGCTGTCGACGACGGGCTGCTGCGTCTTTCAGACGAGCTGCGTTAACGAAATCACTGCCATTGCAATGCATTATAGCAGTGCTCGACGGCTGGACGCCGCGGCGGGCCGCGAACGCTGCACTGTTTAAAATATCTATGGTGTAAAAAGTAATCTTAAAATGGTGTCAAAATCCAACACCAAGTGGTGTTAATATAACACCATGAATTATGGTTGAAAATGTGTACCGATCGCGGCAAAGGCGGTCTGGATTACGTGATGTTCTTAAATCTCGCCTCTGTTGACTTACATGAAGAATATATAAACTCAGGTGGTCCTTTGCTTTGGTGTGACACTACAAGTTGTTCGATACTAAAGAGACCTTAAATAGGTGGAAACAGCTGTCAATACTTGAAGTATTTTAAGTTAGTGGAACGCACTAAAAACATTATCTCCAGCGAGTTGAAGGTTCCATTTTCTGGAATAATACCACTGGTAATATACTAGTAATGCGTCAAGGAACTTCCTGTTTCCTTTTTTTTCCTTTTATCTGTATTATGATTTAATTTGACCACAAACACATAATATTTAACACTGAAAAGGAGTTCAATTTACACCAGGTAAAATTTATTTTAATACTGTGTGAAAGTTAAATTAACACCATTTTAGTATTTGAATTTACACCGGCCAACGAACCATATTTAACACCATTTTGGTTTGTATCGATATAGACCATGTATGGTGTTAATTTGGTGTTAAAATGGTCATGAAATTTTGAACAGTGTGGACGTCGCAACGAAATCCCACCTTAAGAGTGACCAAAGCCGCGGGAAGCGTCTGCCTGGTCGGTTTGGGCGACTTTGAAATGAATCTACCAATTATGAACTGCCTGATCAGTGAGGTGGACCTCATGAGCATCTTTCGCTAGCGAAACTGCTACCCGCCAACCATCAGATCGGGTAAAGTGAATGTCAAAGGGTTGGTCACGCACACATTTTAACTGGAAGACGCTGTCAAAGCATTTGAGCTGGCAAAATGGGCAAAGGCGATTCGATCAAAATCCTAATAACCGGCGATTGCCCTGACAAGAGCGCCCAAACGAGCAAATCCAGGTCGAAGAAACGCAAGGCGATGTCTAAAGTAGACTAGTAGGAAAAAAACTAGTAGTGCAAGTTGAAATATGATTGTTGGAATCTGATTCTTGCGACAAATCTAATTCCTGCAATATGTTATTTTTTGAAAACCTTAACTATGGGACTTTATTTACTTATGTACTAAAAATATAAAATTATTAAAAAATATTTGAAAGAATAATTCTAAGTTATTGTGACACTTCACTCTTATGACACTAATTACTTTTAACACCCTGTAATGTACAATTAAAAATTCTTGTAGTGTAATAAATTGGCTACAAAATATCATATTAATTTTAAAAATCGTATAAAAAATACCAAAATTATACTCGCTTAATCACAAAGGCTTTTTTCTTAATATGACACCATGGCATGGCACTATATAATAGTGTATATTGTCATACATTATTTTAAAGTGTATTATGTATAATGGGCTTTAAAACTTTTTACATTTTTAAAAATATACCCAAAATTGCACGAGTTACAACTTTAAACATGTTATTTGACTTCGACTATAATAAAATATATATGTATATTATATAAAATATACAGTTAAAGACAAGTCGCTGTTATTAAATATTCGACACATGAACAACTCTTTTCAATTTTGCTTTCTAAATATTCCTCACAATCTATTGTGTTTTCATTATTTCTGTCCACACACAATCTTTATCATTATCTTTATCACTTCTTGTTCCCTTGTTGGTCATTTTAGGGCCACTCTGGCGCATTGTGCAGCTCCATCGGTTTCTATAAAATCTTTAGCATGGCAATAGAATGTTCTTAGGTTACCATCCTCAAGTAATAACCAATAACCATGTTTTTTTTTACCTCAAAATGAACGTCTGAATCTCATATACCGACCACATCCATCTTCAACAAAACCTCGTCTTCCTTCGGTTTTGGCTTGCATTTTGGTTCGACTTTTAAGCTACTTTTTAGCAGTCAAGTTTGGTGTTGTTTTAGACGTTTTAGCTTTGTTTTTATTAAAGTTCAGTTTTTTGATGATTTTGTAAATTTTGAGGTGTTTTAAGTGATTTTAAGGTTACTGTATTATTATTGGCAACACGATATGCACTGGCCCAATTCGGGGGTGGCAGTTGTGGTGAAAATATTCAGCTTACATTTGGTTCTAACATGGCAATCACAATATGAATAGAAAAAAATAGTAAAACGAACTCATCTCATAAGACTTGTTCATTCAGAAACTTCCTCGTGCTAGAAAATGAGTGGCGTCTTATGACATTTGTTGTTGAATATAATATTATTTATATTGTTTGTATCTTCATAAATAAACTTTCTATTACAGATCTTAAAAGAAGTAGGTGATAAGACTAAATTCCTGAGTCCCGAGGACCCTATATCACTATCACTAGAGTACTACCAAATCCATCTGGACACCACAGACCCAAATAGTGACCCGCGTAAACAAAAAAACATTACGGACGCGAAAAACAGTGATTTAACTGCCGGTCAGTTGAATGACAGTAAAAAGGGTGAACTAGCGAAAAATAGTGACAGTGATTCGGTGAAAAAGAACAATTGTGATAAAAGGTACTTAAGTTGCCTTGCTGGGGTCACCATGAGGCACCTCCAGAAGTTCATACGGATGAAATTCGCCTTGACGGCAGACCACAGGGTAAGTGATAATGGCCACCAAGATGACCAGACGGGGTATATAGGAATTTGATGAAATTAATAAATTGGGGTGGTTAGGGGGGATTTTAAGCACTTTTTAATGAATAGTTTTTTTTTATTTGGGGGCTAGTTTTTAATATCCTGAGGATTATATATGTTTTTCTTTTTTAGGTTGATATTATCTATAAAGGGGAAGTGCTTCAAGATTCCTACAGTCTTATGGACGTGGCCTATATTTTCCACTGGACTAAGGTAAGGACATTTTTTGTGTGATTATTTTATTATGTCAGTTATGTTATTTTTAGCGTAAAGTTTATTTCTCATTAAAAAAATGCAAACCCCCCGATTATTCTTAAACAACAATTATAATACGTAATAAACAGTCATTTCTTTAAAAAAAATCTATTGTATGTAAATTTTAAGAAAGAGAACCTGATGTCTCGTTGATTTATGACGAATTCTCTTTGTAAAATGTCTTTAACGGTAACAATATAACTTTGTAACATTGTCTATTGAAAAAAGAATAGGTAATTCTTAACTTTCAAGGTCGTTTCATGGGCTAGACCATGGTAAATTTACTGATAAGAGCAGAAATTGACTAGAAAGTTATTTTAAAATGGGTGAATTTTGATTGAATGTAACTTTGTTAATTTGGGATTAATAAAATTTCCCAAAAATTTTTGAAATGGATTATATGTCACAGTCAAAGTTTATGTACATATATAGGTATATCTTGTTACGTGTCCATTAGTAAATTTCCGAGATTTTTGTTTTATAAAATATGCAACATATCAAAGATATTTTTTATATGACTGTAATTTTGTCAATTTTATCCCAATTTTTTAAAATTATGCATTAAATTAAAGCTCAATTTATATATATATATAAAAAATATAAACCACTACAATTTTTTTGTGATATATTACCCAGTGGCGTGCAGTGCTATTTAAAGCAAGGTAGGCATTTTTATTAAAGTCAATTATGCATTATGTTTTGATTTCTATCTACCTTTGCATTATGCCTTTCAATCTCTTGATGTGAAAGACTAGTTTCTATGCGAGTTTGACCAAAACTGTACAAAGAAGGTGCACAATTTAAGTGATTCGTAGACTGATCATAATTTTTTGTAGCATTTGTAAAATTATTTAAATCAGTGTAACCAGTCTTGTTAAACACATTTTTTTGTTTTGAAAATAGTGCCAACAGTACATTTTGTTATTATGGACACACCCACACAACCACTTATAGATAAAACTTAATATTAAAATATCTTACTGTCTTCTTTTGTTGTTTCACTAAATGTTACTGGAAAACGATATTTTTAATAACCTTTCAACACATCAATTTTTTAATAATTTTAGGTTATTAAAATATTAAAATTGACTTTATCAACCCTCAATTTTGTGTGGATTTTGCCCCCACCTACATAAAAGCATTGCTTTCAAACTGCTGTACGTGTGAATACGAAATAAGATTTTGTGATTGTCCAATCTATTCTATGCGATGCTTATACACTGAAAAAACAAATCTGTTTTATCAACCAATAAATTTTTTGTTGCAATTGTTCTTGTTGGTCCTAATAAAAAATTTGTTAACCCAAGTAAAGTATTTAATACATTAGTATTTGCAACAAAAATGAATTTGTTGGAAAGAATTAGTTTACCCTACTGACAATATGCGTCGCCGCTAATAGGTATCCTTAAGTAAACATAACAAATATATTTTTGTTGTCAATTTTCGCCCAAAATTGGCATGACGTGACATTGAAATTTATTTTATAAAGTTGACCGACTTGGTGCCATGGTTAAAGTTAAGTCTTGGTGTCATAGTGATTGAATAATAAAAAAATAATTTGTCACTGTCAAAAAATTTTTGTGCAAATGCTAGAGGAAGCAGGTTCGCGTTAATTAATTTTTGTGCATTGGGCGTTATGGATGAAGGAGTAAACCAAATATTAACCGAGTGGGGATTTTCTTCATTAGAAAATACTTTTAAAGGTACCAAAATAATTTTTGTTAAAAAAAATCAAACAATATTAACCTATACCTACACAATATTGTTAATGCAACTCTTTTTATTAATTAGTATTACATACTGAAAGAGTTGCTTTAACAATATTGTGTAGGCATAGGTTAATATTGTTTAAGTTCTTTTAACAAAAATTATTTTTTGGTGATTAAAAGAACTACCAAATGTTATAACAACAAAGCAACAATGTTGTAGTTTAACTAATACTCATTACCATAGCTTTTCCAACAAATTATTTTGTTTAAAAAACAAATAGATTTATAATGAAAACAAATGCAAAAAGTTATAGAAACAAATAAATTATTACCTAAAACAAACGTAAACTGTTTTAACAACAAAGTATTATTGTATGAGATATCAATAATATTAGTTACTTTAAACAAGACGCCATAGTTTTGTCAACAAAAAATATTAGTTACAGTAACATATTATGTCTCAACAAAAAAAAATTGTTGTAACAAAGATTTTAGTTGAGGCTATAGCTACAAATAAAATTTGTTGGCGCAACTTTTTTTTAGTTGCTTAAACAAATTATTTTTTTCAGTGTACGAATCTGCGTTTCACCGTGATAGTATCACATTGATACAATAGATGGCAAAAATAAAGGCACCTATAAATTGGTTAATAAATATGTTATTAAATATTCAGATCCTAAGTTATTAAATATTATATATTATGTAGGTTTACCTACATTAAATTAAAAAAATAAGTAAATTTTGATTATTCCAAGGTTGGCAATGCTTTTTTGCTTGTATTGTATGCACGCCACTGGTATTACCAAATATATAAACAAGCGCACATCTTAAAAAAAGTTTCATATCATTAAATAAAAAAGGCAGAAGGTTTATTCATTTTTTAACTACCTGAAAAATTTCATGGAGCGTAACTTCGTAAAATAAACGACAGTCGCCGTTTGAAGAATTCATTATAATTATTTTTACGAAACGCTCGACAGGATTTTAATTTAAAAGAAATTCTTTTAACGTTTGATGTCATAATGCATTTTATTGTTTAGATTAATTAAAGTTAAAATATCTACAGGGTGTTTTTTGCAATTTAAAATAATTAGGTACCTTCCACTGCTATTTTGAAAAGGAAATAATACCCCCTTCCCCAAGAACGTGACGTAATTTGTAAAAGGTCCATAGTAAATTTCTTAAAGTTATTTATTATTTAAGATATATGACTTACCTAACAATCCATTTATAGAAACTGAAGTTGGATTATAATCTCCTAAACTTCAGTTTGAAAATGATTGCCAAGACTCAAAATTTCCCTTTCCCTCCTTTCTGTAATTTAACATTGGCAAGTTTATGTTAAAATGGTTTTTTGCCACTCTTTTCAAATATTAATTTTTAATTAAAATCCTATTAAAATTAAACAACAACATTTTATGTCCCTTCTGTCCCGTTTCTTTGTAGGAACTGTCTAATAGGAAGTTAATTGTATATTAATTAAAATGATTACGTGCTTTTGTTAAATATAAAATACCTATGCGACAAATATTTCTTAAAGTTAAAGTTAAAAATAATTTAAAGAATTTGCTGCAGATCTTCTGCAGTCAACAAAAAAAAATTCTGCCCCAAGAGGCTAATATATTAAAATTAAAAAGAGGGTAAATTAAAAGTTACTGCATACAATTATCTCTTATAATTTTTCCCGCATGCTTGTAACCTCACCCGAGTTCTAAACTGGGCAATTTTAATAGAAACAAGATTATTTCTGCCCAACCAGTTTCAAAAGGCGTTGCTAACGATTTTTTGTCATGATTCTCAGGCTGTATAATTTATTTTAAGAAATTATACCTTTTTTAGTGTAGTCGATTTAAAATTACCGTTTCACCGACTAAATCTTTGCAGTGTATGCAAAATATACGTTTAGCAATTGCTTTATTGCCATAGTGATGTTACTTTTACTGAAAAAAATCGTTAATAAGCAAATGTTGATAGATTTGATATTTTGTAAGATATCTTGAAAAGTACCTTATCGGTTTTTGAGCTCAGATATAAATAGTATATAAAACTACTTAAATATATCTACAATTTGGAATATTATTTTTGTAAATCACCCACAAAACAAAAAAGTTACAACTGTTCAAAAAGTATATTGAATAAGCTTAAAAATAAGGTATAGTTTTGTAATATTCGATGAAAACAAAAAATCTTTTATATATGTATATAGCTATAGCTGTATACCTTAATTATTTAGGCTTCAAAATTTACAAGCTTTGACAAAACGAATATCTCGAAAACTATCAATGGGATACCTATTTAAAGATAATTAAATTTTTAGAAACCTAGATCATAAAGCTTTAAAATAATAATAATTTTTTAAAATATTGTATAAATTGTTGAAGTTATACAGGTTTTTAGAAAGCATTTTCTAATTAGTTAAAACTATATATTACATTACTTTGTTAATTTATTTGTGAATCACGTACTTTAAACAGTTCTAAACGTTGGGAAAGTTCGTCGTAATGTTTAGTTTAGCGAGAAAACCTATTTATACTATTTATACTTTCGACCATATTTGGTTTAAATATAAGTTGTTTACGAATTTTTGCGGTTAATTCTTACCCCTTAATTATATAATTGCGGTTATAAAAAGCCCAAATAGTCGTTAAACAAGTCCTAAAAAGCTCTAAAATGGGACATATAACTTAAGCGAATGTTCAAAAAGAGCATAATCAGGCAATATACAGGCAGATATCGTAAAGAATGTCACTTGGAAAGATCCTTTATAACGATATAGATGGTTTCATCACGTGATATATTCATGACTTTTAATTGGTCGTACTAGCCTGCATTTCTGGACGCTTTATAGACTTTGAAGAATTTTTTTGAATGAAGGGCTTTTCGATCGTGTTTTGTTTTCTAAAATGGGGTGAAAGATAGAAATCTTTTCTTCTAAGAAAATATGTACTTCTAAAAATGTCTATTTCCTTATATCTCAAAAACCGTGGATGGAATATTCTGAGATATAGGTATCTTTTCTTCTAAGAAAATATGTACTTCTAAAAATGTCTATTTCCTTATATCTCAAAAACCGTGGATGGAATATTCTGAGATATACCTATAGGTAATAGTTATTTATGTCATAAGGCTGAGAAGTGATTATTTTTGTGCTGAGTTCAATAAGACACGTCTGAGCCGAAGGGCATTCAACATTTTATCTTCAAGGCACATTTTTATTTTATTAAACAATGCATAGAACGTACTTACAATAATTATTGCAATAACAATAATTGTTATTATTGTTATAATTATTATTAAAAGTATAAAGTAAGGTTACATAGCTTCACAGTTGTTAGTTATCGAATTGTTTGATTGGTTTTTACAGCCTAGGAGATAATCGAATACTTTGGTAGTGAGCGTTGACAATAATAAAGCTTAAATTATAGAACGCTTGAAGATAAATAAATTTAAAGTACATTTTATTGGCGTTCATATGATGTTTTGTTTTTGAAAATCGGACAAAAGATAAAAAAGAAACAGTTTTTGTTTTCAAATTCCACCTCACCCTTTTAAATCTGGCAACCCTGTGTCTTGATTAGAAAAACAAGGCTTTCATTTGGTTTATTACAATAACTAATCTAAACTATTATAGTTATAGGTACCTATTTTGTAAAAGTAATCCAAGATAAATTAAAACCCAAAGAAACATTTTAAAGCTTAAAAACCAGGCTACTAAACCCTTTTTACAGAACCTAAATAACTTAAAAGGCAACACAATTATTCGACGACAAATACAATGCGGTACCCACATTTTCATCGTTACTTGGTACACTTATTAGTGCTCCTTTCAAATGTTAATGAGGTTGTCAATGGTGATTACTAGTCAACAAATGGCGTCACGTGACCTCGTCGTGCGACGTTGCCGATGTCGCGCAATGCAAGGCCCGCTTAGAATTAGCTATTTTTAGAACAAGAACGAGCGACTAGATCGTATGTATGAATTTACGTATTTTGTTACACCAGTTTTTTTCTATTCTAACTTTGTAGAAAGTCTATTACGTAATTCTATGCTGTGCGGCTCTGTAATAAAGAGATATACTTACCTAATAAGAAAAATAGTAATTAAAAGCCTTAAATTTAACATTACCTATACGCTTTTTTAAAAAGAATGTAGGTATACAATTATAATAATATATAATATAATAATATTAAAACAATATCATTATTATATTTTGCGTTATTTTTACCGCAATCCAAGCAAAGTTCATTGTCCCATGTTATTTTATACGCTATTGTAAATAACAGTTGCTTGAAACGCATCAAAAAAACGTTAGACAACAATGTCACAACTCCAATTTAAGAATTTTAACTTTTTGTTGTTACATTACTGCCACACTATCTTTCTTGGTTTTTATCAAATTTTCAAAATGAAAACATCATTTGATACGCTGTTTACTAAGCTTTAAAAACGATTTAAATAAATATCCTGTATATCCTTAATGCAAAACTGCCACAACTCAAAATTAAGCATTTAAACTTTTGGGGGCACTTTTTACCTAACATTCTTTGTCTTTGTTGTTTTTTAGATTTTTAAAAATTAAAACATTATTTGAAAAGTTGTTTAATAGCTTTAAAACGATGTAAATATATCCTTAATGCAAACTGCCAAAACTCAAAATTAAGCATTTTAAATTTTTGCGGCAGTTTTTACTTTAACACTCTTCTTTGTTGGTTTATATAAGATCGTTTAAAAGGTTGTAAGCTTTAAAACAATGTAAATATGTCCTTAATGCAAAACTTCTATAACTTCAAATTAGACTATTTAACTTATTGTGGCACTTTTTACTTTAACACTTTTTATATTTGTTCTTTTTTTTAGATTTAAAAATTAAAGCATTATTTGAACAATTGTTTAAGCTTTAAAACGATAAATATACATATAGACGTATAGATAATGCAAAACTGGCACAACTCCAAATTAATCATTTTAAATTTTTGTGGCACTTCACCTAATTTAGAGTTTACCAAAACTTTACACCAAATAACTTCTTTAGTTTCCATAAAATTTTTAAAAACAATATAAATTAACCTTTATTCGCTGGGTATCAATAGCAAACACTCTTATCTAAAATTCCGAAAAAATCGTCCTCAACACCAAAAACGTTCCACAAAAAATTCACAATACTTGTTAAACAGTGGCTAGTGATAAGAAAACGCACCGCACAAACAAAAATTATCAGCGTTCAATTGTTTTACGACCTTGGCTCGAGTTTTTACGAGCGTCATTTGTTTTTTACTGGTGTGATTTAACGCGAAAATCACGAAAATATGCTGAATATCTCGAAAACGCAAAACCAAAAAAAAATAATATTTTAACATCAAAAAGTAGGCTACGAAAAACCGTATTATTTTTGAAAATTTAATGGAAATTGATAAAATATATAGTATACCTAGTCGTTAAAATTTAAAACATTTTTATGCCTACAAAAATATCTTGAAATTTAAACGGTTGTATTTTTTATTATTACTATCACAGTTTTGGACTATATACATATAAGTATACCTACTTATAAAGTATATACAGACAAGGTTTCAAATGTTTTTTAAAATTTAGAAATCCCCCAACAAATAAAGTTATAAATAAGCAGTTAACATAAGATAGTAATTATCGTATTAATCTACCACTTGTTATTTTGTTACAGGCGAAACCCATGCGTTTCTTCTACAGAATTTTTACTCCTATGAAAGTAAGACCGATTAAAATCGTTAATACTACTTTGAGTACGGGTGGTAAGCAACTACAAATCGTACCGGTGAAACCAAACTCTGATAAAAATGTAGTGGAAAAGATGAGTCAGAAGGAATTTGATGCAGAAGAAGAAGAAAGGAAGAAAAAGAAGGAGGAGTTAATGACGCAGCTTCAGCTGCAGAGTAAGAGTAAGGTTGTGGAGGGTAAGAAGAAAGATGAGTGTGTTTTTGATTACCATGAGACTGACGAGGAGATTAAGAAGTTTGCTGAGAATAGAGACAGAGAGTGGGCGTTGCAGAAGAAGTTAGATGAGAGTAAGGAAGATCACCATATAAGTAAAAAGAGAAAGAAAAATAAACATTCAAAGAACGATTTAATGCATAAAAAGCGTAAATTACACGCTGAGAAGATCAATAATGATGACGATTTACTAAAGTTAAAGGTTAAGCTAACAAATGGGCATAAACACAAACATCATAGGAGTTTGGATAAGAATTTTAACCAATCTGAGTTGTCAAATAAAGAAAAGTTGCTGCAAATGAGGCAGGTAAGGCATAAGGCGGCCATACCGGAAGAAAAAGCCTTGAAATTACCGGAAAAAGCCCTGAAATTACCGGAAAAAGCCTTGAAATTACCGGAAAAAGCCTTGAAATTACCAGAAAAAGCCTTGAAATTACCGGAAAAAGCCTTAAAATTACCAGAGAAAGCCATTGAAAAATCGGAATTGAAAGTTGAAATATCAAGACTTAATAATGAAGCTAAAAATGTTGCTACACCCGTCAAAAAGGTTGAGAATGTTAAATCTACTTTTATAAAAGACTTCCAAAGTTTTGCTGAGAAATATAACAAGGCCACGACTGAAAAAATCGTTCCGAAAGATGTAAAGACAGTAAACAAATCCTTAGATCAAAAAATCGCAAATTTAAAGCAACGCTGTACTATAGAACCTAAATTAACCCAAATAACCGCACAAAAAGTCGAGAAAAAGGTTACCTTCACCGAAAAAACAAATGTACTCAGCTCTGGATACCCCGCAGGCTTTACGGTGAGCAAAATCGACCAAGGTGTCAAACGGAAAGCTGATACCGAGGTAAAAATCGATAAGCGACCAAGTTTGGAGATAACCTTAATAAACCCAAGCCCACCGACGACACCAATTCTGCAAACCGTAGAAAAGATGGCCGTCAAGCGACCCCCACCCGCCACCATACCATTGGATCGCATTAAAAAGTCTGTAAACATAAAAAACACAGGTCTAAGCATCATACCCAAGTTGGACAAGTGTGACAACATAGGCGCTCTGGATCTATCAAATCACAAAACAAAAGAAAACGGCACATCAACAAAAAGTGAGGTTAAAACCGTTATGCAGCTGTCAAACTTGCAAATGCTCTCCAAAGTGGCAACAGAGCATAAAGCAGTGGCAACAACGCCTCAAAATAAGGTTAAACCTCAAATTCCCAACCTACAAACTTTAAAAATTCCCCAGATGAATGCCATGTTACTGAAAAACGCGCAAAAAATGCCGAAATTGCACGAAATTAAATTTCGACCCCAACAAAATCAACAAATCCGAAATTTTAGACCCAACCAAAATCAAAACATCCGCAACATACCCAACCCAAGCCTACTTATAAAACAGCAGAATCAAAGGTTGAACTCCTTTAACAATACAACGCCAAGTTCCAACGAAAAAAGTGAGGTAAAACTTTCCAAACCGGTGGTAGAGGCGAAAATCTGCGAAAAAAATGAAATTTCTGTCTGATCTTTTGACAAATAAATTCCCTTAATCGATTGTGTAAATATCGCATACAGGTTGCTTGATAAACCCCGTATATCACTTGTTTTGCGTGCGATTTAAATGTTTAAAAAAAACAATTAAATTATTTAATATTTATTACAAAATTATATAGTTGGATAGTTTTTAACGCGTTTATTTTGTTATCTTGACATTTGGTGTTTATAACTTTCATAATTTCATAACTTTCATAATTTTTTTATCGATTTTGATTTTTCAAAAAAACACTTTGACCGCGAGAATTTTGGAACTGTGATAAACGATCAGTGTCGTCATTATCGTTAGTAACGATGAAACGTGTTTTAGAAGACGTTAAATCGCTATGGCAACTAAACACGTCGACGCTCTTATCGCTCTAACATACTTGCGGCCTAATGCCTAATACCCTAATTATTATTCTTTAAAAATATCCAAAAAAAATAAAATTATCAAAATTCGTTTGTCAGATATTTCCAAGTCTAAAATAACACCTATTTATTTTATGTGGATTATCTCAAAAACCTATATAGGTATTTTACATTATCTTAAAGTAGACAACATGTTTTCTTATATTTTAAAAATCGCCCAGAAAACATCAAAGATAATATTAATTTAGTTTTTATTGAAGAGTTTCACTTTATTTGATATTTCTTGTAACTTCTCACAACTCTGTATAATTATGTTCCTGATATTTTGTTAGTTGTTATTTGTTTTTAATTTCGTCACTTTATTAACGCAATATTGTATATAATACTCTTTAAAACAATTAAATATTAATGTATATATATATTTTTGTTATTATTTAAAAATGGTTTTAAATTTGTATATAGGAAATATTAAAAAAAGTACTAAAATTAGATGGAATAGATTTACCTATAGACTGTCTTTTAGGTTTAGAATTTTTCATAGTACTTATAAGAAGGAAATAGTACCTAAATACTTTATGTTTTTGATTATATAGTATTTAATTTAAGTAGGTATATAAATGTGCATATGTAGTACTTTTTTGTCAAAAATAAATGTAGTATTATTATAAAATATGATTATTATTCAATAAAAACACCCAAATAAACAAAACTTGTATCAGGAAAGCAGAAAAAAAGTAAGTAATATCAAAAAAAAATCATTCAAAGTACTATTATGTTATATCTTAAAGTACTATCTCACGATCCGAAAAAAAAACAATTGCTATCTGTAAAACGGGTTTCGCTTACGCTGCACACATCACGACGAAAGCCGGCTTTACAGCGACGAAGCACCAGAGTAGAATACACTTTGATGTTAAAGCCTGATTTACACAACCAAATGGACGGAAACAGTTGAAAATCTATATATCGGAGTCGACGCGGGAGGTACGCGACGTATTTCTTTGATCAGAGCGGAGATTTTGATGTTTGGGAGGTTGGAGGGAGAGCAATCAGCCCAAGTAGGTACTTAAAATGAGAATTTTGAGGTTGTTTTTTTTTCAGAAAAACATGATTTTTTAGCTTTTATTTAAAAAAAAATTGTGATTTTTCAAAAATGTTAAAAATTGATATACCTTAAATTGCGTAAAATAAAAAGAATTTTATTTTATTGATAAAATATTTTTTACAATTTTAACGATTTTTGTCACAATTTAACTCAATTTAATCATAAAAATAATTTAAAACGGGTTTAAGTTCCAAAACTAAACACATTTCCCAAAAAAGATTATTTTAACAATTAAAAACAAATTTTTAACCAATAAACATTTTTACATCCCATTTTCTAAAACCCTTAATAACTTTTTTATCATTCAACAAAAATCAAGGAAATTTGAAATATAACCCATCCTTTTCCCACTCTTTCATAATTTTTAAACAAAAATCAAAAATCGCAAAAAACAAAAAACTTACAGCTCATCCACTTCGGTTAAACAATCTCCCTCAACAAAATCTAGTTACCTCTTTCTTTGTATCAGGCTTAAGCCACGCCCCTAATCAACCCACCAATGGTCTTGAAGAGAGGGAGTTAAGCGGGCCAATAACAGCAAAGGGGCGTGGTTTCCCATTTTAAAGTCTCCAAACCTCTTTTTATTGTTCCCTGATTAAATCCAGTGTGTTTTGGATCATCGTGACCTTGAAAGTAGCGTAATTGGACTGTTGCTAAGCGCTCATTTGTTTTGAGGTTCTGTTTATTTTTTTATTGTGGAATATTTCTTATTTTTTTATTTGGAGGTGTTTACAAAAATTTTTGCCAAAAAATGTATTTTGTTTAGGCACAAAAATGTAAAAAAAAAATTTTTTAATTCGTATTTTTTTTACATATGTACATATGTATATTTATAACCTATTTACCTATATTTACCAATTATTTAATCAACTGATCATAAATTTATCGATTTTATTACTCAAATTTCACTAAACTAGCGCCCCTTAGCGTTCATAACGCCATTTAACTTCAGAAAATCAATAGGTATTTAAGCATTTTAAGTACAGCGTCGTCTAGTGGTGGGTAACACAACTAAAGGTTATAAGATTGAATAAAATGTAGGAACCTGTAATATAAAACGGGTTTATTGTTTAGTTTTGTTGTTTCTTGGTAGGTGTCACTAGTGTTAAATTAATTTTATTGTTGAAATTCTTACATTACAGGGTCACTCCATGTGACGGGTGGGAAACTTGTACTAATTTGTATATATTTATTCAATTTATATTTTATTATTTTAGGCTTTTTCATCCATGGAACTCTCATATTTTTAAACACCCATACAACATCTAAATAAAAATAAAAGTTTTTTGTAACACTATTTAGTTTTAAAGACTTTTAGTTTTATAAAGTAATTTTTTATTGTGACGACTGGGACAAGCAAAAAACGATATTTTATTGACTAATTGTTTGGAAGCCAATTTCTGCTAATTTAAACAAAACTTAATATGTTTTAATTTTTTGTTGTTACATAAGTCTATGTATTACTATATAATGCTTTTAGAAAATTTTTAAAAAACATGTTGAGAAAGTTATTAAAAATATAATGCGACATCATTATGTGACGGGTGGGACAAGTTTAAAAATAATAAGGTTAGAAAATATATTACTACCTTATTTAATTTTAGTTACAAGAAAAAACATTATTTAACCCTATTATAATTTATAACCCTATAATACTATAATTTTAAATATGCTGTTACGGTGTCGTCCCATCTCGGGACCTCCCATCTCGGGACCTAGGGAAAATTTACCTGTTTCTGTGCCATCTCGGGACCGAGTCTACAGGTACAAGTTTAAAAGTGCCATCTGAGGACCTAAGTAAAAGGATTACTTCGCGTCAGTTTTTACATGTAAGCATTGAAGGAATATTGTATTATTTTGCAAAATTATTAAACAGCGTCTATTTTATGCTACTGCAAAGATATTTTTAAAACTATAATATTTTAAAAAGTTATATATCTTTCAATCTATTTTATGGATTAACAAACACAAAACATTTAAAAATCAAACCTATGGGGGGGCCAATGGGGCGGGGTCGGTAGGGTTGTGTTGTTGAGTTTGGCAAATTTTTGCTGTGTTTAATCAATATCTATTTTTTACAAGTTTTTTTTTACAATTTTTGCTTTTTTTGAATTTTTTACAAGTTTTTTTTGCATTTTTATTGCATTTTTGTCCATTTTGTTGATTTTTGTTCATTTTGTTTTTTGTTTTGTTGTGCTGTTAAAGTTAAAGTGTCCCGTTAATAACAAAAAGCCGTGCAGCCGCCTTAAGTATTTTGTTCATGACAGGTATAAAAATGTATTACCTTGTATAGGTCCCGAGATGGGACTTTTTAATTTTGGAAACTTTATGGCTTAGGGTCTGGGTCCCGAGTTGGGAAAGGTCCCGAGATGGGACTAAGCCCTGTTACACTATGTAAAAGATTTTTATTTTCAGCTCTAAAAAATAACTGGTAACAGAAAATGCCCAATCAACAACACACCATATTACTATGTTACATATGGGTGATTCTACAATCTCCTGAATCAAATATTTGACTGATTTTATTTTAAAATATATTTTATATTTCAATTTCACTACAAACTATAAAACATTAAATAATGTATTTTTCATATTTTATCATAGATTCGAATAATAGCAATTTTTTAAAAATTGATACTCTTTGTACTCACTTTTACCCGTCAGTTCTGAGTTAAATGTTAAAATTCAAAATTTTTGCGAAATATTGAAGTATAAACGTCAAGTCCTCGTTTTATCTCAAGTGTTGGTAAAAAATTACCTACAGAGCCCGCCTTTTGCACGACAGTTATCTTGAAAACAATGCAAGCGGCGAAGTTGTGATGAATGTACGTATATTTCCAGTAAAAATTTCAGTACTGTGGTGAGTAGTTATTTTCCTTTTTTGTATATATATTTCATTGTAATTTATATAAGGCTATATGTGATTTGTTGATATGTAAACTAATAAAAAATTTGTACCCCATTCATCAGTACCGTGTCGTCAGTTCCATGTTCGATGTTTCGGTTATCTTTTTTTCGCAAACTTCAATTTAAATTCTGCTTCCGCAGAACTTGTTTATTTAATGTCATTATAAACTCACACGGAGAGAAATGTATAGGTAGTAAATTTTAGATAGTAAAAAAAATATAATAAAATTTACTTTAACAAATTTTTAGGGTAACAATATTATATATTCGTCAATAGAATATTAAGATTGTAATACAAAATACTATTTTTTATTATACAATTTTAGTAAAGATTACAACACCAATATTACTAAATCATAAATGTATAATATATATTTTAATTTTTAATATGTTCGTATAGTAAATTGATTTTACTATTTACAAATAGTAATATTTACTATATGATTTAATCAAATGTAAGGTGTACATCTAATATTATAATATATTACACATTAATAAAAAATATAGTAAAAATAAAGATACTTTTATGTTTAAGGTAAATAAACAATATATTTAAATATAATATACAATATAGTAACTCATGACATAAACTTTCTTGGCCCATTACTGGTAATACTTATAAGAAAGAATTGAACCTACTTGGTTGCATAGTATACTATACATATATGTACCGATTGCGGCAAAGGCCACGTCGCGACGCGTCGTTAGACGGTGTGGATCACGTGACGTTCTTACATCTCGCCTCTGTTGGCTTACCAACCATGTTATATAAGCTCAGGTATTTCTTTGTTTTGGGTGTGTTCCACTACTACAAGTTGCTCGACAGTGTCGTGTCGACACTGATGATACCCAATATAGGTCAAAACAACTGTCTGTCGGTATTTGAAGTTGATGGAACGCACTCAAAACAAAAAACTTTGGCGAGGTGTAGGTTCAATTCTTTCTCATAACATTTTTGTATATTAAAAAGTACAATAAATATGTTACAATTTTTAATTGTTAACATATAAAAATATTCGATTTTAAAATATTTTATATTTAAAATGGCAACATAATATTTTAAAATTTTCTATCTTTCTATTAGTAATGGAAAAAATCTAATTATAATAAGAATTAAAAACAAAATTGGTTGAGAATAATAATATTTTACCTTAAGGTATTACATGGATACATGGATATTTAAAAATTACTAAATATGCATAGTATCTGGCAATATACAAGATAGTTGTCCCAAATAGTAATATAAATTATAGTAAAGGGTATTATAATTATGGTAATCAGCATTATACTTTTCTCTCCGTGCATATAAATTTGGTGTGGGTCCCATATCTAACACCGTACAACACAAAATTGCCCGCATCGATGAAACTTGAAAAATCGGATAGAAGACGATAAAAAAAAGACTCGTGTATCGGCGATTTTTTTGTACACGTCAAATTTTTTTTTTATTTGGTTTTGAAACACAAAATTTAAAGATAATTCGTAGAAAGTTTCCATACTAATGTTATTT